AGTTACTGTATACGGTTTGGTCACTCGTTACGGTCCGCAATCAGTTGGTGGTTAACCTCTTGCGCTGGAATGACGTGCCACGCACGTCGAGAATTCTTTCGTCCCAAAATTGCGATATTTTCTCAGTTTTAAATATACTTAAGCGTAATCCAGGCAAAGCAAGTAATAAATTTATTACTTCTCAATAATTTCTATCCAGTGATATCATATCGACGAGTTCAAAAAAAAGGCTTTACTGTATACGGTTTGGTCACTCGTTACGGTCCGCAATCAGTTGGTGGTTAACCTCTTGCGCTGGAATGACGTGCCACGCACGTCGAGAATTCTTTCGTCCCAAAATTGCGATATTTTCTCAGTTTTAAATATACTTAAGCGTAACCCAGGCAAAACAAGTAATAAATTTATTACTTCTCAATAATTTCTATCCAGTGATATATCGACGAGTTCAAAAAGAAGGCGACAAGTTACTGTATACGGTTTGGTCACTCGTTACGGTCCGCAATCAGTTGGTGGTTAACCTCTTGCGCTGGAATGACGTGCCACGCACGTCGCGAACTTTTTGTCCCAAGATTGCAATGTTTTCTCAGTTTTAAGTATCCCAAGATTGGAATGACGTGCCACGTACGTTGAGAATATTTGGCCCAAAATTGCAATGTTTTCTCAGTTTTAAGTATATTTGAGTAAAACAAAATAGGCAAAACAAACAATAAATTCATTACTTCTCAATAATTTTGACCCAGATATATCATATCGACGAGTTCACAAATAAAGCGACGAGTTACTGTGTACGGTTTGGTCACTCGTTACGGTCCGCAATCAGTTGGTGGTTAACCTCTTGCGCTGGAATGACGTGCCACGCACGTCGAGAATTCTTTCGTCCCAAAATTGCGATATTTTCTCAGTTTTAAATATACTTAAGCGTAACCCAGGCAAAACAAGTAATAAATTTATTACTTCTCAATAATTTCTATCCAGTGATATCATATCGACGAGTTCGAAAAGAAGGCGACGAATTATTGTATACGGTCACTCGTTATGGTCCGCATTCAGCCGCAAAGTGGGTTAATTTCTTTAGAACCTCTTCTCGTAGCAATAAAACAAATGTTACTTTAATTTCTATCTTCCTCAGCGCTGTTTTCACAAAGAAGTGACCCTCGCGCACGATCGTTAACTTTTCCATTGATCTTCAAAGTCGCTTTCTCGTTGCAAGCAACCGCCTTCCGATTCTCGATTCAAGTTCGTACGTTACGGCGGGTTGTCGACCCCGGTGCCGTGACGATTAAACGTATCGTTAGGCGTTTTCGAAGATACTCGAGGCACCGGAATCTCGCGCACGCGATCCTGCGTAGCGTTCTAGGCAAGCGGCGTGTCGCGTGACTGGATCCGCGTTGCGATCTCACGCGAGAGGATTTTTCCTCGGGCCCGAGCCTGAATATCGCACGAAACGCCGATCGACGCGTCGAAGGCTACGATTTTTCATTTTTCTTTCGAAAAGTCTTCACTCTCGCGAGAGAGAATTCAAACATCTCGAGAGAGAGAGAGAGAGAGAGAGAGACCTAGAAACGTGCAACATTTCGAAAGGGGGATGAGAGGGGAGGGAAAGTTCGTCGAACTGTGCTTTGTACAAGCGATATACGCGGCAGTGGCGTTTACGTGTACTCACAGCTGATATGAATGGAGACTAGGTAGAGCGCGAGCTGGGGGTTGGTGTACGTATTTGTGGATTCGGTCATGACGACTTTCCAGTATAAATTGAAACTTCTCGAGGGTGTCTCGCCGGCGGTGGGAGAATGTCAAGGGGGCGAAGGACAGAAGGAGAGAGGCCTGTGCACCGGCAATACCGGACGAGGATGGAAAGAAGCAGCGAAAGAGGGGGGGACAGCGCGAGCGAGCGAGCGAGAGAGCGAGGGATCGACTGACTGACGGAGAGACAGAGAAAAAGAGAGAGACGGATCAACGAAGGGTACAAAGCCACGAAGCTGGGTCAGTTCCGTTTCAGTACGAGGTAGGCTACGATTCCGTTTGGATCGGAGGGAATCGAGAGAGGATCCATTCCATTCTCTTCCTCAATGTCGCGTTCTCTCCCTCTCTCTCTCTCTCTTTCTCCATCTTCGATGTTTCTTCTTCGTTCTCTAAATGTTGCTTCGCAATTTATATTTTTATAAATTCAGCAAGACACCAAATTTCTATCGCCAAGCTTCCAAATTTGTATTGCTTTTCAAATTGTCTGCACTATAATTTTGGTACGTATGTGCACACGCGATCAACGGTATAATGTCACACGTTGATGTCGTTCTTAACCACTTGCGCTGGCAACTGATTGCGGACCGTAAACGAGTGACCAAACCGTATACAGTAATTCTTCGCGTTTTTTTTTTTTTAAATCGTTGGTACAACATCGCTGGATAGAAATTATTGAGAAATAATAAATTTATTATTTCGTTTCACTTAAATATACTCAAAACTGAAAAAATATTGCAATTCTGGGAGAAAAAATTCTCGTGCGTGGCACGTCATTCCGGCGCAAGAGGTTAATCACTTGCGCTGGCAACTGATTGCGGACCATAACGAGTGACCGAATCGTGTACAATAATTCGTCGCTTTCTTTTTGAACTCGTCGGTACGATATTCACCGGATCGAAATTACTGACAAGTAATAAATTTGTATATTTGTTTTGCCTATTTTGTTTTACTTGAATATACTGAAAACTGAGGAAATATTACAATTTCGGAACAAAAAAAATTCTCGACGTGCATGGCACGTGATTCCAGCGTTCCATTTTGGAACTCTGGATCATCTCTGGTGTCATCGAGGAAGCTCGATTTGCTCAAAATTCGTTCTACGAAGCGTGTCCAAAAACGTCCTCGAGATCCAACGCAATTCGAAATCACGCGATTGTCGCGAAATGAGAAAGAGAGAGAGAGGGAGAACTGGAGAACTGCGATCTATGTCGTTGTTCGCCGGAAGACTGGAGAGGATGCCGGTCCGGCGGATGAGCGACTCTCGGTCGGAAGAGCGAATCGATGCTTGGCAGAAACAGGGGCGATCGAGAAATTTGCTCGATCCCGAGATTCATCGTGGATCATCGCACACGTGGATCGCGTCGGCGCTGACTCGAGTGCCGGCCAAAGAGTCAGCATCTTTCCTCTTCGTTCGCGATTTTTTCAGAGCGAATCGTTTATCTTGGTTGTTGGGTCGGACGCGCGCACAGGGCGTCGCGTAGCGTTTCGTGTTCGCGTGGTGGACAGGCAGGCAGGGAGGTGGGAGAGGGACGAGAGCAAGCGAGCGCAAACACGGAGGGATCGCGCGGAGGCAGAAGGAAGAAGAGGAACAGAAGAAAGGAAGGAAGAAAAGAAGGAAGGAAGGATGGAAGGAAGGAAGGAAGGCAAGCAGGCAGGCAGGCAGGCAGGCAGGCAGGCAGGCAGGCAGGCAGGCAGGCAGGCAGGAAGGAAGGAAGGAAGGAAGGAAGGAAGGAAGGAAGGAGGGAAGGAAGCAAGGGAAAACAGGAGAAGGGAAGGAAGAATGAGGAAGAGAGGGCTCCACTCGCCTAGCGCAGCGTGGGCTTTTCTTGTATTCTATTGATTTTTCCGAAAGTTCGCGTGGTGGGAGTCTGGCAGGCAGCGGTGTGCGAGCTTGGCCAGGAGCGTGTTTGCGTGAGCTTCGACGACGGTATCGTCTTTTCCTTCCCTCTCTCGTCCGCCTCTCACTCTCTCTCTCTCTCTCTCTCTCTCCCACTCTATGTTCTGTTCACTCCTTCAACGGGAAGGATGGGTCGTTTCGCGGCAGGCGTGCGTTCTCTTTCTCGCACGAGCGCCTCCTTTCGTTTCTCCGACGATGGCTCTCTTTCTGTTTCGAGGATCGGGGCCCCCGGTGTGCACGAGAGAGCCGTTTCCCGCTTGGTCGCGAGCTGCTCGCCTCTCGCTCGCTCGGCTTTGCGTGAAATCCACCCTCGACCCCGCTTCTCTCGCTCGCTCGGTGCTGCTGCTGCTGCTGCTGCTGCTGCTGGCTTTGGCTCGTTCGCGCTCGCGCTCACAGCTGCGACCTGCTGTGGTATACACACACATACACGTATGAAGGAAGAGTGTAGTACATACTACGTGCGACTGGTCAGTGCGCGCGCGCATATACACATGCAAACGGCCATTCGAAACAGGAGCGTGTTAAGGAGTTTGACTTTGACATTATTTTTACCGCGACGATCGACGGAAAAAGATCGCGCGCGCCGCCCGTGCGATATCGGCGAGCGATCGAACTATCGCCGCCTATCCATCGTATCGCCACCTACTACTCCTACCGGGCGGAACAGCTCGTACCGTCCGGCTCGTTTTCGTAAAACCGTCAACGATCGTCAGCCTTCGACGTTACCACGCCTGGTTACTACGTGCACGTTGCAAAATACTCAGATACTCTCCCACTCCCTCTACACGGCGATGAACGCAACATCGAAAATTCGATTCTCGTCTCGATGCCAATCGTTCGATCGAAGGCGATCGAACAGCACCAGGTGTTGCCGATCGGAGCCGATACGTGAAATCGCGCGACTTTCGCTCGACATCCGGGGAAGGTTCAATCGTTTCCGTTGATACGAAACGTTCGTCACTTTGCTGAAGTTCCGAGCGATCGGGGGAACTCGGACGCGACTCGGCGAGAGAGAGAGAGAGAGAGAGATTTCAAATCGACTCGAATCGAGAGTGTCGGAAAGAGATGAAAAATTTCAAAAATCGAAGAGAGGGGGAAAAAGGACCGGGGGGGCCGTAGGTGCGTCGAGAAACGGTTTTCTCGGTACAGCCCTGGTATCCCATCCACCTACATCGCGGCAGGGTCACCGCATGCACCACTACCACAGCAACAGTCGTGTGCATACGTGTACGCGTGTACGTGCCCTTATATACCCAGAAGTTATCTCGGTTTCTCCAGCTGTCTGTCTCTCTCCCTCCCTCCCTCCCTCTCTCTCTCTCTCTCTCTTAGCCTCTCTCGGCGATATACGCTCGCTGGCACACCCGCGCTCTCTCTCTCTCACCCGCCGGTTTGCACACGCTCGCGCTCAAGCTCGCCTTCCCACTCCGATCTACACTCTCGCGGCGGACTCGGTCGAATGGATTGCACGCGTTACACGGACACGCGTGCACCGAGCCGCGTTTCGACGCGTGCATGCACCTACGATGAAACGCTGGGAGCGCAAGCCGCGCGCATGGTTCGCCGCCGCGGCCAGGCACTCGGCCAGCGAGCCAGTTAGACTGGCAGGAAATCGGCCAACCAACGGCCGGCTGAGCCGCGCGTCCCCTTCGATCGATAACGCCGATCGATTTTCCCCGCGGAATCCACGAGACTGCCGGCAACTGCGTAGCCGGTGTCGGCACACACAACCTCGCTGTTCACGAGGCTCGAGGTCACACCGTTTTCGTACTACCTCCTGGCAGTAAACGCCGATTTTCCGTTTACTTCTCGAAAATCTCGCTAAATAACAATTTATTATCGACCGGTGTGTCGATGGCTCGCGGGAGTTTCGAAATGCCGCTGCCTTCTTCTTCATGTGTCCATCGATGCACCGGTGGCAAGTTTACGACGCAACGCCGGCAATAGATGCTTCGCCTCGTATCAACGCGAAGATAGCACCAGCCACAGGCTCTCGTAACCATACGCCCGTATGACGAAATCGGCCGGCTGTTTGAAAATCAGCACCGAAAATAATATTCCGCGGCGAGGGACGTACGTCGAGACGAATCGGAGTCACGTAACGCGATTTATCGCCGATCTCGTGTATCGATTAGCGTTGGTTAACGTGGTGTAACGAATGTTACACCTGACGGAGAGTAGTGATTGACAAAGAACAGAGAGAGAGAGAGAGAGAGCTAGAGAGTAGACGAATGTAGAAATTCCACAGTCGCTTTTAGCAACGATCGCTGAACGTTAATTGGTATTGTTGCTGCTGTTGTTGGTACCAGGCGACGTCGTCCTCATCGTCATCGTCATCCTCATCGTCGTCGTCGTCGTCGTCGTCGTCTTCGTCGTCGTCGTCGTCGTCGTCGTTGTCGTGTCGTCGTCGTCGTCGTTGCTGCCGCCGCGGTCGGCGGGAGGCTCTGAAACCGAGCAAGACCGAACGTAGTCGACGGAGGTCGGAAACGCACGAACCTCGCGGCTCGAGCGACCGAACCAACGACACGGCCAAGCAGTGCGGTACCGACTCTTGCTGCCGCGGTTTCAACATCCGTGGTGTGCGTGGACGAGTGTTTACGCGACAGTAGACTCGCATCTCGAGTCGAAAACCCCCCACTCCCCCCGAGGTACGGAGTCGAGCCGAATACAATACAGAGGAGAGGATAGGAGAAAGGAGAGAAGCGAACAGAGAAGCAGGCAAGAGAGAGAGAGAGAGTCGGGCACGCGAGTCGAAGGGTAGACGACTGGCGAACGTAGGAAGAGGACCGACGTGAAGGCGCGTTTGCGGCGGTGGAGTTTGCATCGTCGAGCACAGTCTCGTACAAGTCTCGTTGAGGATTTAGTAGCGGTGCACACGTCGTCGCGTTTATCAGTAGCGAGACAACGCGGCGAGTCGTCCGGTTGGCGAGACGAGCGAAACCATCGACGCTCGTCCGGGGAAACAGAGGCGAGCGAGAGAGAGAGAGAGAGAGAAAGAGGGGGAGAGAGAGAGAAAGAGAGAAAAAGAGAGAGAGAGAAAGGCGGAAGGCAGGGAAAAAAAAAAGAAAAGAGAAAACATTGTGTGCCGTCTTTATCGTTCGGGGCGTGGGTGCAGCGAACGTGAATCCCTCTCGGACGAAACCGCCTTGCCGCGAGCGAACGAGGAGCGGCAGCGAGGAAAAAGGCGAGGAGAGAAAGAGATGGTGGAGGACGGAACGGATCCGTCGCGAGAATCGAGTCGAGTAGCCTTTTCTCTGGTAGGGACACGACGTCTTGAGGAGGCCAAGTAGCGTGTGGCATTGCGAGCCAAGAAACCGAAGGAGCCGACGAGAGACCGGACACTCTTGCGACGAGAGGAGACAAGCGAGACAGACAGACAGACAGAGAGAGAGAGAGAGAGAGAGAGAGAGAGAGAGAAAGAGAGAGAGAGAAACAGAGAGAAACGGGCACGGCGAAAAGAGGAGAAACTCGGAGAAAAGAAAGTCTTGGGCTCTTCGAGAGGGATATTCGTGGTGGTCACGTGTAGCCAGCAGCGGGTGAAAATCGCGAGAGAACGCAACGACTCTCTCGAAAAGGAGGCTCGAGAGGTGCCGAGTCTCTCTCTTTTCCATCGTCTCGCGATTTCGCAACAGCACGCGAACCACCGAGCCGACGACGAGAGGGAAAAACAACGAGGAGGGATCGGAGGATCGAGGCGCTCGAGCGAGATCGGCCGCCGGATATCCTGGAGAACGATGACGATGGTGGTAAGGAGGATCGCGAGCGGTAACCGGAGGACGAGCAGCACGAGAGGGCTCGATTGAATTGCGATCGAATCCGTTGGAACTCGCGGCAATCGCCGCTAACACCCAGGTGAACACCCATCATAGTCGTCGTCGCACGTCGTCTCGCCTTTTTAAGCCGGCGACCGTCGTCGGCGACCGACCGGCCTGCTCGCCGTCGGTCCCGTCGTCGTCGCGACGGTACGACAGGCCGCACACACCACCGCGGTTTTCCGACGTTTTCGACGTTTTCGACGAGAGGGTGGTGTCGCGACGCAGTGTGTCCGGGAATAGTGAGTGTTTTGGTGTGCGAGCTGATACATATTCCAGCCAGTCCACGCGGGATCGCGCGCGGTTCTTCGCGACTCGCGCTACCCTGCCGACGGCTCGCGCTCTTCTTCGCGAAGCCGTCGGGGAGAGAGCGGACCTCCTGTCAGTCAGTTTGCTTGCTTGCCCTCCTGCTGTTCTCTCTGCCTCTGCTCTCTCTCTCTCTCTCTGTCTCTCTGTCTGCATACCAAATCGCCCGTCGCCTACTCTCTACTACTCCGCCTTTGCTCTACCTGTCCGTCATCTATCGACCGCTCCGGAATATCTTTCTCCTCGCGAGAAGGGAACCGTGCGAACCGAGTTTCTTCAGGCGAAGACTGCCGGGCAGAGACGATATATCGAGTGGTATCGGGCCACGTACAGGTACGTACGTGACTCGCCGCGAGGAAAAATTACGCGTTGATCCGCGTTAGTCTTTTGGAAACGAGAGAGCGGAGAGCGAGATAGTCAGCGAGGATGCAGGTGGCAACGCTATTTAGAGAGAGCGCCACCCTGCTGGGTGCCTCTAGCCTGGACCCACCGCAGACCCACCATCACCAGTCTATGCACCCGCAGCAGCAACAGCAGCAACAGCAGCAACAACTACAACATCCTGCCGACCTGCATCTGGCTCATCACATGCAGCATCACTACAAATTGTAAGTCGTCCCTCTCCCCGCCCCGCCCCCCCCCCCTCACCCTTCACCGCTCTGTGATGTCTCCGATTGATATCTTTGATATCTTCTCCGACACGAGAGACTTGCCTTTGTTGTCTTTCGTTCTGTCGCACACACCGTTGCAATCGTGCACACCGCAAGCGACAAGAAACGATTTTCGTACCGGTTCGAGAACCGAGAGGCTGATGCAGTTCCGACGGCAACGAAACAGTCTCACGGACGATGCTCCCCTTTCTTTTCCCTTATTTTCCAAAATACTGCAAAATCGTCGTTTGTAGTCGTTGCAGAGTAACGACGACACGAAGATATGTATATATATTTGTATATGTGTATATATACGGGGTGGGCCGAAATTCGTAGTACAATCGAGCAGGGGGTGATTCTAAAGTAAGGGTCGAAAAGTAAGAAAAAAATTTTGATACATTTTCTTTTTTATCTGGTTTTCGAGAAAATTTCGAATTTAAAGTTTGTTCATCTTTGAGTTTCTGCACAATGAATTGCCTTCGTTGATTAGAGGATGTACCCTTAGCTACTATAAGGTGTATAATTTTTCAACATGACGGTGAACCGCCACATTACACGAGGGAGGTTAAAAATTTTTTAAATCAAACGTATATTCGTGTTGGTGAAGTATGTTGGCCAGCAAGGTCTTCGGACCTTACGCTTCTAGATTTTTTCTTTTACGTGGGCATATCAAAAAACAAGTTTATAAAGACGATACTTTGAATATTACACATCTGAAGCAAAAAAATTATGAGAATTCGAGAAATTAAAAAAACGATGTCAGCTTGCATTCTGTTCAAATATCATTAACTCGTCGAGCAAACTTATGTACGCAACAACGAGGAGGACATTTTCAACAATACTTGTAATAGTGTACTGTATCGTAGTATTGCAATAGAAAGTGGATAATAAGGAATAAAGAAATTGTACCGCTTTAACCACACAATAAATAATGTTTGTAAACATTATCTGAGACGGAGGCAACCGCGGTAGAAACATAAACGACTGAATCGTTCTTTTCGATTTTCTTGAAAACCGAACCAGATAAAAAAATGCTGTACCAAATTCTTTTTGACGTATCACTTTCTGCTCCATTGTACTACGAATTTCGGCCCACCCTGTATATATATATATATATCTCTGACGCAACAAACTTGACGATCCTCTGGAAAAATCCGCAGCCGTCGCTACTCGCGTTTTGAGAAATCAACGAACCGAATCGTACCGATCCGAAGGATCCGCGGTGTTACGGTTGAAAAATCTCCGCGTTCTTCGGCGATGGCTATGACGACGACTTGGTCTCCGTCGTGCCACGCGAATCGTTGATTTTCCTCACAGCCTTTTCCACGAAGGCATTATCGCATTGTCGTCGATAGGAGTGCTTTCTCCTTCTCTCTCTCTCTCTCTCTCTCTCTCTTGGTTGCACAGTCGCGGCGTTCCACCCTTGGTCTCCGACCTAGCTTTTTATGAATTTCGTCACGCGCCACGAAGGGACAGGGTAGCATTTGTATTCGTTGCGCAAGGTCCGGTCGTGCCCTCGTTCCTTAAACCGTACAATTTGTTTGAGGTATCTCGTCGCTCAAGTTTCTCTGCCACGGTCCGCGTACCGTGATCGATGTCGCGACGATAACAGAGTCGAGCGAGAGCGGTTCTCCTCGAGGTGAGGGGCAAACGAGCGTTGAAACGACGCTGCGTCGAGGAAGGACGTTTGTCGCGCGTGAATTTAACGGATCGCACGAACGGTCGTCTTTCACGCACCTGTTCAAAAACTGTGCTCCCCGCGACAAGTGAAACGAGGCGTTTATTCGTGAATTTCCCGTTCCTATACCTTTTGCTTGCCGATACGCAATTCTTATACGTTCCTCCATGCTCCATCCAGAACACTCGGTCTTCGTCGTTTCAGTACGTGAATAGTCGTTAATCACGAAAGTAGAAACAAAGTTATGGAGAATCTGGTCGCCGGACGAGTACGGCGCTTGTTGAATTTTTCGACAAAAGATTGCGAACAAGCATCGTGGCGTGGGCTAATTTCTATTATCGCGACGCGAGATCCAAGTTCCCTGAAGGAGTTCATCCCTTGCGCTGGCAATTTGATTGCGGACCATAACGAGTGACCGAACAGTACACAATAATTCGTCGCTTTCTTCTTTTTTTTTTTTTTTTTGAACTCGTCGATATATCGCCGGATAGAAATTACTGAGAAGCAATAAATTTATCATTTGTCTTGCCCGGGTTATATTTCAATATACTTGAAACTGAGAAAATGTTTCAATTTGGGATGAAAAATTCTCGACGTGCTTGGCACGTCATTATAGCGCAAGAGGCTAACCACTTGCGCTGGCAACTTGCTTGCGGACCGTAACGAGTGACCAAACCGTATACAGTAATTCTTCGCGTTTTTTTTTTTTTAATCGTCGGTACGACATCGCTGGATAGAAATTATTGAGAAATAATAAATTTATTACTTTGTTTCACTTAAATATACTCAAAACTGAGAAAATATTGCAATTTGGGATGAGAAATTCTCGACGTGCGTGGCACGTCATTACAACGCAAGAGGCTAACCACTTGCGCTGGCAACTTGATTGCGGACCATAACGAGTGACCGAACCGTGCACAAATAATTCGTCGCTCTCTTCTTTTTTTTTTTGAACTCGTCGATATATCGCCGGATAGAAATTACTGAGGAGCAATAAATTTATTATTTGTCTTGCCCGGGTTATATTTCAATATACTTGAAACTGAGGAAATGTTGCAATTTGGGATGAAAAGTTCTTAACGTGCGTGGCACGTCATTCCAGCGCAAAAGGTTAAGCGACTTCGTAGAAACTGAGTTTTCTCGAAAGTTTTCAAGCAAATCCTTGTTAAAAATTTATTCTACATATATATATATGTAATATATATAATAAATGAATTGTACTTTGTACTAAAAACGGAAATTGAACGAACGTAATGAACGATTGCGTTTTATTGCGCAAAAGGAGCCCAATGGCCGTGCGCTGCATTCACGTAGGCACGTCCGTGCGAAACGAGTATGGCAGCGAATGTCGTCCCGACGCTCTTGTGTGCCTCCAGGTCGGCGGAAAGAAACGCGCGCGACTCTAAATCCGTCGGTGAGCCACGCTCCGCGTGCGAATACGTATATTCGCCGATAGTCACGCGTTCCCTTCCTTTTCTTTTCTTTCTCGCCGCGCGAAAAGAGAAAAGGGAAAAGTGTCTTCGAGTGTCGAACCCGGAAGCGGACACGTCGATAAACGCGTCTGACGTGGCTGGGGCTCCTGGTGGATCTCCAGTCGAATCGAATCGAATCGAATCGAATCGAATCGAATCGAACGGGAGAGAAGCGAAACCGCGAGAAGTTTGGACCAGACGCGAGGCCGCCAATAGGTCAAGGCTAGATTCTCTGCTTCGACCGGTATTCCGCTATCTCTAGCCGTTTCCCGGCAAATTCCTGACCAACTTTCCTTGCGGCTCCATCGCCGCCACCGCCGTTTCTTCCGTCGTACGCGATCGCGGACGTGTCGATTAAATCCCACCGCCTCGGCCGATCGCCCATCTGTGCAACGCTCGCGAGACGACATTTAAGACAGATGACGCAAGCGTTGAAGATTACGAGATTCTTTTTTTTTCTTTTTTTTTTTTACCGCGGATTTGTACGCGTTTTCGTCGAGAATTTGGGGGAAACTTTCAAGCATAAATGCCGGTACGAATTTCATACCGTGTGTCGAAGGATATGTAAAACGTTCAAAGAAGAGTATTTATACGCCACATGGTATATCGTATTATGTGACACCGGTATATAATATTTATAATATTTACAGTATAATTGATATACTACTGTGTGGTATTATATTACTACTGCATGGTAATTAATGTTGTAGTTAATGTAACTATGTATTACTATTAATTGCGAGTAGTAATAGTAGTAGTATCATATTATATAAATTATTATATTATATACTACACACTATAAATGGAACTCCTATCTGGATTTCATTTTCTTAATTACGGCCATGAAAATGTAAAAAAATTCACAATGTAATTGCAACGGTGGTTGTTTTTGCGGAATATTTGCGTTTTCTGAGGAATAAAACTTCTGAAGACTGAGTTATATGGAACGTAACTATTCTTATAAATACAAAACATCTAAATACTGTTGCTATAGTATTACATTATTATACCATATTATAGTATATATGATATATATGCCATATTATAGTATATATGATATATATACCATGTTATAATATATAATATATATATATATATATACCATATTATAGTATATACCATACATATATATATAATATATATATATATACCATATTACAGTATATATAATATATATACCATGTTATAGTATATATAATACCACACCTAGTCCATACAATATAAACTATAATATGTTACAGCGCGCAGTAACCAAAATGCATCAGTAACAGAAAACTAATCTAACATATACAATATAATTGAAAGAATAGTACGTGCACACCGAGAAAACTTTCTACTTGAATTTATGCGCATAGAACTCTGCGCTTGAAAAGTGTTCCTGTAAATGCGCCGAAAGCTCGCGGCCCTACTTGTTGTTGTAGAAGCAAAATTTCGTTCGTTTGCGAAACATAATATAATAGGCACGCCGTACGTCCACTTTGGATGTTTTACATGCTGCGAACGTGACGTGAAATTTCGCAAGAACGCATAAACATCCGCAATTTGCTCGCGAGATTCTTTATATTTGATTGTTCTGACGTGTTCGTCGAAACGGCAATTCGTCAGAACGCGTATCCGCTATAACCGTAGCCTCGAAGGCTACTCTTGTTGGCTCGCTGCTCGCCGTCGCGGCGATTATTTGTAGATGCGAAACTTTCAGCAATACGCGCTTATCTCCGCGAACATGAGAAGTGACCAATCATTTTCCGCGTTCCTTTCGAAAGCTAAGCGACCGGAGCCTAACCGCACGGAATTGAGAGAGAAGAGTG